GATTTGTTTGTCATATGCTAGTGCGCACAACAAGAGAATGGACTTGATTATGCTTTGTATGTGATGAGATTCATGCTTGACATTGTGACTCATTGTACGGACACTCAACAGCTTGATGAGGTAAGTCCTAAAACTTCTTGAAATGCTATATTGATGTGATTTCACGCCTTAGACACTTAATATTACCCAACAATGGCATGTTATGAGAAACAAAAAAGCTATTTCACAAGAAAGGTAGAAAATGGGCTGAATAGAAGTCATATGGGCCATGTTAGGGCCATTTTGTGTTAATATGCTCTTTTGATGTGATTTCTTTCCATATACACATATAACTAGATAATATTGATATGTTATGAGATAAATAAAGTTCATTTAATAAGAAATGTAGGAAATGGGCAAAGTAAGGTCATATAGGCCATATTCGGGCCATTTTGAGTAAAAAGCGTCGTAAACCTTAATAAAATGCTCTCCTATACAATTTTAGGGCTTACACACATACAACTACCCAACATTGACATGTTATGAGAAAGAAATAGTTCATTTGATAAGTAATGTAGAAAATGGGCTACATAGAAGTCATATAAGCCCTATTTGGGCCATGTTGAGTAAAATGCGTTGTTAAACTTCTTGAAATGCTATATTGATGTGATTTCTAGCCTTAGACACCTAATATTATCCAACAATGACATGTTATGAGAAAAAAAAAGGCTATTTCACAAGAAAGGTAGAAAATGGGTTGAATAGAAGTCATATGGGCCATATTAGGGCCATTTTGTGTTAATATGCTCTTTTAATGTGATTTCTTTCCTTATTACACCTATAACTAGATAATATTGACATGTTATGAGACAAATAAAGTTCATTTAATAAGAAATGTAGGAAATGGGCAAAGTAAGGTCATATAGGCCATATTCGGGCCATTTTGGGTAAAAACTGTCATAAACCTTAATAAAATGCTCTCCTATACAATTTTAGGGCTTACACACATACAACTATCCAATAATAAAATGTTATGAGAAAGAAATAGTTCATTTGATAAGTAATGTAGTAAATGGGCTATATAGAAGTCGTATAGGTAATATTTGATAAAATACATATTTTTTGCCTAATTAATTATTTTTAAAATAATGTTTTTGTATTTCAAGTTTTGCAAGGTCAAAAAGGATGGTCCGTTGACAATCAAGGAGCTTAATGAAGTTCGTGACATGTTGGTGTCTTTCATCACCTTCAACATGTAAATGACATGCATTGTAATTGTAAATTATTTATGTTAACTTTTGAACTATATATAACTTATTATTCATTATATATGTGTACTTACTATTATTTGTATATGTAAGCAACTTTTTTTTTTTTTGTATTGCGTTTGGGAATATTTATATCTATATATATATATAATTGAATTCTTGTATCTAATATTATTTTTGTATATAATAATTAATAATATTATTATTAGTTATTATAATAATAAAATTATTAATTATTATATTTAATATAATTGCTGGAATTACAGGATATTATTATTGCAGGTTTTTTTTTAAAATATTATTGCACGATTGAAAAAAAATAAATCATACAAAAGGCATCGGTTAAGCAGGAACCGGTGCCTAAACTATCCACCATCCAAAAAAAAAATGGCGGGAGAGCAGTATTAGGCACCGGTTAACCGGTGCCTATTCTTCCCTATGGCACCGGTTAACCGGTGCCTATTAAACCCTATGGCACCGGTTTTGAACCGGTGCCAAATAGGGGGTTTTTGGCACCCCTCAAATAGGCAGCAGTTCAAACCGGTGCCTTAGACCGGGTTTGAACCGCTGCCTAATGCGTTTTTTCTACTAGTGATGAGTTATTTGTAGGGTGTTACTGGTTTTGTTAGGGTTACTTGTATTTTGGGGTTACTTATAGGTGTTACTTGTATTCTGAGTAACTCCTACAAGGAACCCCATACCAAACCAGTAACACCCTACAAGTATCCCCTGAGCAAAATCAGTAACATCCTATAAGTAGCCCCAGAATACAAGTAATACCCTGACCAAAATCAGTAACACCCTACAAGCAAGTAATCCCAAAATACAAATAACACCTACAAGTAGCCCCTGCTGCACAATGTGATCAGACGCATACAAAAATTTATGATTGAATACACAACACCTAAATGTTAATTGAAAAATCCGTACAAGAATTAGGATTTAGTTCATCTCAAATAGAAAAAAACATGTAAAAGGTGAATGACATATCATACTAGGGTGCTAGTCTAGATTTCAAATAATTAATCAATCAATTATTTTAGGAATATCAGTTTGTTTGATTGAATTAGTAGGTACTCCATCCATTTTAAAATACTTGCTTCACTTTTTATTTTCGGTCGTTATTAAATGCTTGCTCTATTTTCTTATTTGGAAAACTTTTATAATATTTAATTCATTTCTCTCAACTAATGGTCCCAACATAAATTATAGTCCGTATTTTATTAATTTCATATTCTATCTCCTCTAATTCTCTCACCTACTTTTGCTATTTTATAATTGTTATTATTCCATCAACCCCACTACCTCCATATTTTATTACTTTTCCAATTTCTCCTATATTGAGATATTATCGTATATTAGGAAGATTTGATAGAATATTTCCATATATTTATCTCATATATTTTAGTTAATTTCCTAAGATCCTACGATATCTTTTGATATGAGGACCAGGACTTTGTAACTCTATATATTCCCAATTATAATTAATGAGAAGGAAAGCATTTCCATTATAATATTTTCTAATTCTCTCTAATTTATCATCCTAAAACTTCGTGCATGGAGAAATGGAGCAACTATTTAAAAACGGAGGTAGTATTCAAATTCTCTCTTTCAATATTGATCAATATTATATATGTATATTTATTATGCCTGGCCATTTGAAAGATCAATGTACAAATAAGGTTTTAATTGTAGATGAGTCTTTTACCAAAATGGCTAATTTTACAAAAGTATTTACTAAAACAATTAATTATAAATTTTAATTCAAAAAACTAGTTAAATTATTGACTTGGAAGAAAATTACTTATTTCTTATTTTCCTTTGAACCGGTTTGGTTCACTTTAAGGTGTTTTTTTTTCTTTTTTGTTTTTTTTTTTAATTTTGTTTTTGTTTTTGTTTTTGGAAAATTCTAGTGTCATAGTTTAAAATATCCTGTTAATTTGAATATATATATATATATATATATATATATATATATATATATATATATATATATATATATATTGAGATCATGTGAGAACTACGGTGAATAATAGGATCTAGGAACGAATCGTAGCCTTTAATCACCCTACATCTGACGGCTCACATCTCTCCCACATTCATTAATGAAATTTTCGTAATTTCGCGAATTTTAAAACTTTTTTTTTTCCTGTTTTTTAACTTTTAAGGCAATTTCATTTACTTTATGACTGATTTCATTAACTTTTACTAATTTTTCATTTACTTTTTAGAAATGAAACTGAAAATCACTTTATAAAGTTAAAATATTACGAAAATGCCATTAATGACATGTACGGGAAGCATGTTGATCGTCCCATTAAAATAATCTAAGGGCCTAAGATCTTATATATATATATATATATATATATATATATATATCTTAGACAAATGATAAACTGACTGCTTTACTTTATGTGGTAGGACACCAGTGTTACACACTACTATACATATTTCACTTGTACTGTGACACAATTTTAAACGTTTTTGTTTCTCTATAATTGATACAATTCTTGACTAAATCTATCAATGCAAAATTTGTGCCATTTTATTCTAGTGGTAGATTGAAGACCACTAATTCAGGATACAACCTTTTTACATGTGATTTTCACTAATCTATCTATACTTATATATTAAAAAACGTTCATAAAACAGAACACGTTCCACGTGTCATCCTTTTTAAGTTCGACATGTCAACAATGTGCGCCACATGTTACTATAAACACATGACATGTCACTTTCACACGTGTTAGGATTGCATCTAAAAAATAATTATAACAAGACTTGAACTCAAGACCAACAAGTCTTATGTTAAGAGTCTTACCATTTTAGTCATTTATTAGTTGTGTTTATTTATCTAACAAAATAATAGTTAACTTAGATAAGTTGATTTAGTTTCCATTATGTAATGATTGAGTTTGACAACTAAAAAATGTTTATAGCAAGATTTAAACTCAAAACCAACAAGTCTTACTATCTAAACAAACAAATTTAATTAGCAAATTAAACAGGTATAATTAAACTAGCAACCCGGGGCATCGCCCGGGCCACACACTAAGCTAGTTGCATATTAAAATCATAAAACATATATAACCACTGATTACAAAACTTCTTTTGTTTAGCACATACTCTTGAAATACAAATCAAAAACAATAATGGGTTTTCCAAATTAAGCTAATAAATTTTAAGACGATGTTGAAATAGAATGAACTTCATAATTAAAGAATATTACTAAGTATATTTTTAGTGTGACCAGTTCGCACCAATACTAATCAGTGTTAAACAATTTCATTCAATTTGAATATGGAATTGAAAAAGGGATAATTTTTATTTTTATTTTTTATTTTTAATTTCGTACCTAAATACCAATTTGTTTCTAAATAAACGAATGTAATTCGAAAATGCTGTAATAATTAAAATGGTAACAAAATTTAGACAATTCAAATTTAATTGACATGTAACAACACCACCATATACATGATTTACGGACAATTATCATTGTGATTGGGAGACCGCATGCTACACAACTACTCCCTCCGTTTTTAAATACTTGTCCATTTCTATTTTTTGCAATATTCATTTATCCTACTTTGACTAATGTTTGTGATTTATACATAAGAAAAAATATAGTCGTGTGGTACTTGTTGGAATCATCTCAATGAATAGATTATTAATTTTTAATTGTTAGAAGTTATATCTATTGATAATTTAAGATATTAGTAATCAAAAATTGGCATCGGCATGCGTGTCTAAGAGAAATAGAGCAAGTATTTGAAAATGGAGGGAGTAGTTATTAATAAGTGTGAATTGAGATAAACAACAGTTACATGCAAGTACTATCCCAAAAACTTTCACTCAATTAGTTAGATGTGTATGATTAGCTAGGTTGAAACCCTAATAAATTAGAGTCTACCAGACTTTAAATTTCATAATTGATGAATGCATCGTCACAAGTAAAAAAGAGTAATTTTAAGTCACTATAATACCAGTTTGATATATACTAAGTATGTTTTTTTTTTTAACTAACTCATAGCCGATTAGAATCCACACAAAATCGAATATATAAGCAAATGTGATAGTCTTATTCAAATTATGGTAATTGGATTTAAAAATTCACAAATTTTTATATGTGGCTGGCCACATGGTGCGACAGGGGTTATTTGTAGGGTGTTACTGGTTTGGTCAATGATTACCTGTAAAGTGTAACTGGTTTGGTTAAGGGTTACTTGTAAGGTGTTACTAGTTTTGGTCAGGGGTTACTTGTAAGGTGTTACTGGTTTAATATGAGGTTACTTGTAGGGGGTTACTCGTTCGGTCAGATAGTTACTTATTTTGGTGTTATTTGTTCGATCAGGAGGTTACTTGTAGTAGGTTATTCATTTGGTCAGGGATTACTTATTCTTGAATTATTACTTATATTGGGGTTACTTGTTTGGTCAACGGTAAATTATAGGGCTAATTATTTATTCAAGAGTTACTCGGTCCGTCATGGATTACTCTCACACGGGATTCGCGCTAAGCGACTGACTAAGTAACTCCTACCAGTAACTCTTAAATACGTAACCTCTAAAAATAACCCTTGAATAGGTAACCCTTTAAGTAACCCATATAAGTAACCCTTGAAAAAAAATACAAGTACTCCATGAATGAATAACCCATACAAGTAACCCAGGACAAAGCCAATAACCCCTATCACATGGTGTGGCCTGCCGCACTGAAAATCCCCCTTAAACAATATGTTACATCTCACTATAAATAGTCTTGCTTAGTTGCATGGTGAACACATGAACAATTAGCCAAAAAAAAAAAAAAGTTTACTACAATTACGAATTTTCAAAACAAAATGTTAGTCCTCTTACTTCTTTTGGCAGCTCTTTCTATCATCTTTCTTGTAATACTTTCAAAAAATGGTAAAAAACAACGATTTCGCCGTCCTCCTGGACCAAAAGGGCTTCCCTTAATTGGAAACCTCCACCAATTTGAACCCTTAAACACTCACGTCTACTATTCCAAACTAGGCAAGACCTATGGCCCAATTTTCGCGCTCCGGCTAATGAGTAAACCTATGGTTGTCATACAATCGGCAAAGTTAGCCCAAGAGGTCTTTCAAACGCAAGATAAGAATTTTTGTAATAGACCATTCACGGTCGGAAGAAAAAGGTTAAGTTACGATGGGTTAGACGTAGCCCTTAGTCCATATAGTGATTATTCAAAAGAGATGAAGAAGATACTAATTGTCCATCTTCTAAGCTCGAAGAAGGTCAATTTGTTCGCTTCAATACGCCATGATGAAGTCTCAAGGCTGATTCAAGAGGTTTCTTCTCTATCTTCTGCTTCTAAAGTCGTCAATTTGAGTCAATTGATTCTCAATTATGCAAGCTCAACTTCTAGCAGGATCATGTTTGGCAAGAGGTACGTATGACACTAATGCGTATTTGCACTTAATTAGGGTGCCGAAAAAATTTAAGTCAAACTGTTGCAATTTATATCATAATTTGAGAACTAATTAACCAGTCTCTCTTAACACATTATTTAAGTGATCAAACTGTTGCAATTTATATCATGATTTGAGTACTCTCTCCGTCCTTAAATTACATTCCTACTTCTAGCATTTATTCCTCACATAATAGAGAGACTAATAGAGAGAAGTAGGAATGTAATTTAGGGACGGAGGGAGTACTAATTAACAAATCTCTGGCCAATGTATAAAAACACAAACCACTTGACATATAACACCTTTAGCTTTATAACTATAACTCCATAAAATCTATGAATAATATTGGTGCATTTGTTGTTTGAAAATGCACAGATACAGCGACAAAGAAGAGTTAGGAAGCAGATACCATAGCCTTCTATCCGAAATCCAAACGATGTTCGCAGCCTTCTTCTATAGTGATCATTTTCCTCTTGGGGGTGTGCTTGATAAACTAAGTGGACAATCCTCTAAGCTTGAGAAGACCTTTAATGGCTTAGATTCGGTTTATGAAAAAATTATTAACGACCATCTAAACAAAAACAAGCTTGAATCGGAGCAAGAAGATATAGTTGATGTTCTTCTCCGCCTCATGAATGATACTTCATTTGCATATAAGCTCACAATGAACCATATTAAAGCAATTTTAATGGTAAGTGTTTAATGAATATTTATACTTTGTATATACATAGTCATTAGTCAAGTGAAAAAGGATGAAAAGGATTTTACACGTATACATAATTTTTGAACTAAGGGTCTATTCTCATACAATTATTTTCAGTTCTGTTCAGCTCAGCTCTAATAAGTTAAGTTCAGTTCAGCTGAATTCAGTCATCGAGAACAGACCCTAAATATGCAAATTTTTATTTATTTTTTAAGTTTGAAAATTTGAACCATCGTTCATTTATTTGGTGATACCAATAAAATCTAATGTACTTGCAGAATCTTTTTAGTGGAGGAGCAAATACCACAACAGCTGGGGTAATTTGGGCGCTTACAGAGCTAATAAAGAACCCCGTTCCAATGAAAAAAGTACAAGAAGAGCTAAGGAGCACCGTACAAAATAAAGGTTTTATATTAGAAGGCGATCTCCCAAAGCTTGAATACTTCAAAGCAGTAGTGAAAGAAACATGTAGGCTACACCCACCGTCCCCATTACTTATTCCACGTGAAACTGTTTGTAAAAGCATTATTGAAGGATATGACATTTTACCGAATACTATAGTAATTCTTAATGCATGGGCTATTGGACGAGACCCAAAATATTGGAAAGACCCGGAAATATTTATGCCAGAGAGATTTATAGGGAGTTCAATGGATTTGAAAGGGAAGGTAGCAATGTCAATGATTCATTTCGGGGGTGGAAGAAGAATGTGCCCTGCCGCGAATTTTGGTCTAGCAAGCCTTGAGCTTGTGTTGGCCAATTTGTTGTATTCTTTTGATTGGGAATTGCCTGATGGTTTAAACATGGAAGACATTGACGACACCAATGTGCTCCCTGGTCTTATTATGCATAAGAAACAACAACTTTGCTTGATAGCAAAGTAATTCTAAGGGCAAAGATATTGAAATCATACATGCATGTTTCATTCAATCTCTTGTCTCTCATCTATCATCTTCCCTTCTTTTGACTGTTGTTAAAAAAAAAAAAAAAAAAAAAAAAATCCATCATCTTAGATTTAATTCTGTGATTAAGGCTATGTAACGTACTATGGACAAAGTATTATGTAAAATATCTTACGCAAGTTTGTGGATGTGGTTTAATTCTTTGATTAAGGCTATGTATTATGGTCTAAGGCAAAGTATTATGTAAAAATAATCCATCATCTTAGTTTTAAATCTTTGATTATGGCCCTGTTTGGTTTGATGTAAAATGTTTTCATGCAATATGAATTTTCCATTTTTTTCCCATTTTCCTTTGTTTGGTTTGTTAAGGGGTGGAAAACAATATTTCCAAGGGTGGAAAATTCCATCCTTAATGATGGAAAATATTTTCCTTCCCAAAATAAGGGAAGCCGCATTTTTCTCCCTTCTCCTTACCTCCTTTTTTTTTTTTACTTTCCTCTCATTCATCCTTACATTCCCACTCTTATTTTTTATTTTCTTGGACTTTTCTTGTATGCAACCAAACAAAGAAAAACTAGTATGCAATTGTGTTTTTCTTTGAAAATATGTTTTTCATGAAAACTAATTTTTCATTGAAAATGTTTTACATAAACTAAACGGGGCCTAAGGCTATGTACTATGGTCTATGGCAAAGTATTATTATGTAACATATCTTACGCAAGTTTGTGGCTGTGGTTACTGATAATATATGCAAATAAATGAAGTAATGAGTTGGTGACCAGTAAACATTATAATTAATATAATGTGTAATGAATATATATGGAGGACGATCAACTTAATATTCCACTTTTTAAAAAAGGATGGTTTAAGTCATACAACGTATATTGGAAAAGTTATAGCTGTCTATCAAAAACAATAGTAATGCGACACATCATCATCGATTTGAGAATGTGACACTGTGCACCGTACAAAAGATGAAATTACTTTTGAAATCGACAAAACCTTTGATGAAACTTTAATATGCATTTTTTTTTGGCCCTTAATATTCATATCAAGATTAAATTTAAAAAGTTGTGGTATAAATTTTAAGGTCTTCCATATATACAGTATGTATATAATGATAGATGTACTATTTTAACCTTTTATTTTTCAACATATCAATTTACAAATAATTCAATTAAAATATTATTTTAAAATTTTACTGAGATCAACTAGCGATGCTATGAAACTTAAGTAATTTTAAAAATACACAACAAGTTAAGTCAAATAAGTGTTCCTTTATCAATCTTAAGTTATTTCTTTCATGACTATTCAAAAAAAAAAAAAAAGTTATTTCTTGCATGCACATTATTTCACTAGAAATCTTGAATATGTTGTTGTAGCCGTTAGAATGACTTTCATTTTTTTTTTTTTTTTTTTTTTTTTTTTTTTTTTTTTTTTTTTTCTGTTTTGAGGAAGACTTTCATTTGATTAACCTAAATAATATAGTAGTAATTACACAAATTATTCATTTGATCAATACTTGACTATAAACTCAAATTATTCTGTTATTCCCACAAAGAGGGCACTCTCTACACTCTGAGATGATGTAGCTAGTTTTATTAAAAGACTGAGTTGGACAGCTTGTATTTCCTGTTTAAAAATTTGCCTACTGTAACAATTTTTTTTTAATGTTTACGGTTAATTTCACAACGTGATTATACACAACATTAATATTTAACTTCTACAATGTGATTGGATCTTGAAAAAAATAGTACTTATGTAAATGATTTGATCAAATCATATTTATTGATATTGTTTATAGTTAGCAATCCCTTGATTTACTCTTTAGATTGATAGTCAAAGATATCCCTTATTCTTAGCTAATGTAACTAGACAAGTAATCTAATGTATCTAGTCGTATTATATTGCTTACTCATGTACTATATATACTCATGGAATCACATAAATATAATTAAGCTTTCCAACATTCTCTTTTCTCATAACTCTATCAACTTAGAATTGAAAAAGAAAAAACAAACACTTTGAAAAGTCCAACTATAGACAAAAAAGAAGTTACAAGTTTCACATTGTGATTGTAGCTTGAACAAATATTTTAAAGGAAAAAAGAGTAGTTTAGGTAAATTAACTATTGTTTAGCTTTATTTTAATTAACCCCTACACTTGTGTAAAAAGTATTTGCCCTTTCCTCAGCCGTGTAGCCCACAGAAAATATGACTAGAAGGGTTAGAACATGTGTATAAATTCAATAGGTAACTCCTTAAAATGACTATCATTATATTAATTTTTATTTTATTTTATGTCAAATTTTATTATAAATATTTTTTTTCTTATTTTAAAAATTTATTATTTATATATTTTTCACATGTTTTAAAATTTTCAAATTAATTTATGATTTTTTATTAGTAATAATAAAAACTAAATTTCTTAAATTAATTATGAAAATTATATAAAAAAATTCAATAATTATTTCAAAATTAGATAAATAATTTATAATGAATTTTGACTTTTTAAAAAAAAATCATGATTAGAGAATATAAAATTAGTATAATGGTTGTCATTCTAAGGATAGATGACTACCATAAAATCATCCATACCCAAGCACCTAATGTAAGTCCCCTTAATTAGATGCTTTGATCAAATCCTAGAGATCTAATGTTTGAATCTTGTCATGTAAATATGTAATGCAGTAAGGGTGCTTGGGAGTAAAGAATTCCCTTACACACACTCTCCTTTATTCCCAAATGCTTGACAGTAAATATTAGAATAAAAAAATCATGAAGAATTAACTCTGATTAGGATCCTCCACATCAATTAAGATATTAAAATATAGCACCATATATAAGTAAAAAAAACACCTATATATGAGATAATCATATAAGCTAGATTAATTTATTTCAAATTGAATTCAAAGGAAGAGTATTCTACAAAAGTATAAAATTTCGGGTGTGGTACTAGTCCATGTGGTATCAGTTTATTTTACTTTATTTTTATTTAATATATTATTCTAATGGTATCAGTTGATTTAGGGATGGAATCTTGATTGATTTGTTAGTAGTCAAATACTTCTCTCTTTCAATGTTGACAAATGTGCAAGTATATTCCTCTTTAACAGATCAAATTAAAGATCAACTAAAGATTTGTATTTTAGGCCTCAATTAGTAGTCAAGTTTGATGGATTTATCAAGCTCTAGACCAATTAAGGGGTGAAAATTCCTTTATTATTTATTTTCGGGCTTTACCCCATTTGGGCCATTTCTAAGGGTGTAGGCTGTTGAGTTAGCACTTCCAATTGATACATACATGGTTCTTATTTGGCTAATAACACTTCTATTTAATTATATTTTAATTTTATACAATATTTTTTTAAAGATGCGATATTTAAAAAGATTGGTGAAGACTAATAAGTCATGTGAAAAACAAAAATCTACCTATATGTCCTTAAAGAGTAAAATCTTACTAGTATTACTCTTAAGAAAATTTATGGAGTTTTAACACCAAAAGAAGATAATTTAGCTTTCTTTTAATATTATTATTATTAAATGTTAAAAGATCTAAAACTAATATACGAAGTAAGTCAACTGAACTATTTTATCTAATTCTCTTAGTCCCTAAATAATTTAAAGTTCTAATAAGTAATGTATGTTTATCATAAAATATTTGTCAGTAAATACAATTTTTATTTACTATTATATTTAGTTGGGACTACACACTACATATTTAAATAAAACTTAGTAATATGTCATTTTATGTCCTAAAAATTTTATGTCATCTACTAGTAATATGTCAAATTATGTCATAAAATTTTTTATGACATAAAAGGACATATAACTAAACGACATTAATAATTTAGAGTATTTTTTGTTCACCTTTAAACTTAGTAATATGTCATTGTATGTCATAAAAATTTTATGTCATCTACTAGTAATATGTCAATTAATGTCATAAAAATTTTATGACATAAAATGACATATAACTAAATGACATAAATTTTTTAGAGTATTTTATGTCTTTTATAGTGTAAAGATTAGTAATACTACATACCGAGTACATCATTTTATGTCATAAAAATTTTATAACATTTTTATTTTTGGAGATGAATATTCACCTAGTTTGATTTGTCCAAACAAAAAGATTAATAAATTGGAGTCTAACAAGACTTTAATTTGTTAATCAAGTAGCTATACTACAAGTTAGAAGTATTGTTTTTTTAATCAATTACATCATATATAACCAATCAAACTATACCACATAGATGAAAAATGGCATATATATACAGTGGCGTATCCAGGATTTCCGAACTGTGGGTTCGAAATCTTAAAAAAAAAAACGATGATCATATATTGATTAAAAATTCAATACATAAATTCAATTTTTTATTACAAATGGATGGATTACACAATAAAAAAAAAAAAAAACTTCTTCTCATTAATCATCAATTATAATCATAGTAACAAAAGCTCTACAATCTACAATAATACACAAAATACACAATTAATTATCAATTAAAATCACAAGTCCCCAATAAACACAAATTTGACAATATAAACTTCTTCTAATTATCAAATTTCAATTAACAGAACAAGTAAAAATTTATAATTCTAAGTTTCTAACTTCTAACTTTCTACAATTCAATTTCTCAACAATTCAAGAATTCAACAATATATCAAAATCATAAACCAATTTAAAAAATAAAACAAGCAAACCAAGATTAAGAATTAATAGGAGTAGACTAGTAAAGGAATAAGAGATTAAGAGGACTCACAATTGTAGAACTAGAAGAACTTGAAATCTGAACTCAGAAGAGTAGAAGACAGAACAGTCGTGAGTCCTCCCTCGTCCACTCGTCCGTGTCTCCGTCACTCCGTGTGGACGTGAGGTGGTCGCCGGTCGGTGTCTCGGTGTGCGGTGCCGCGGCGGCTAGTGGCTACTGGCTAGGGTCATAGGGTGTCAAGCAAGGTTAGGGTTTTGGTGTTTGGGAATTTGGGGAAAAATGTCTGATGTTTGATTTTTGAAATATGAAATATTGAAATGTGAATGTAAGGAGTAAAAAAAAAAAAAAAAAAAAGTACAAAAAAAAGAGGGCAATAGGAGTCGAACCTAAGACCTAATATATTAAAGGGGCGCGCTGCTCTATTATTCAGAGAATTACCAATGCACCAAACTTACCCGTGTGATAATTATTCTCACAAAAATTTCTTTTAAACCTTTTTATTTTTTTTTTAAAAAAATTAAAATTTATAATTTTTTTCCAAAAAATCTGTGGGTTCAATGAACCCCCTTGAACCCCCCTAGATCCGCCCCTGTATATATATGATCCACAATATATATATTAAGAACATGTTACATTTTACTATAAATAGTCTCTCGTAGTTGCACGGCAAAAACCACGAATAATTAGCCAAGAAAAAAAAAAACCCCTTGTACAATTCTCATACAACAAAATGCTAATCTTCTTCCTTCTTCAAGCAATTCTCTCTACCATCTTTCTTGCAATAATTATTATTTCCAAAATTAGTAAAAAACGACGATTTTGCCCTCCTCCTGGACCTAAAGGGCTTCCCTTAATAGGAAACTTTCACCAATTTGAATCCTCAAATACTCACGTCTACTATTCCAAGTTAGGCAAGATCTACGGCCCAATCATCGCGCTCCGGTTGATGAGTAAACCTATGGTTGTGATTCAATCGGCGAGGTTGGCCAAAGAGGTCTTACAAACACATGATAAGAACTTATGTAATAGACCATTATCGACCGGAGGAAAAAGACTAAGTTACGGTGGGTTAGACATAGCCCTTAGTCCATATAGTGAGTATTTGAGAGAAATGAAAAAGATACTAAATGTTCATCTCTTAAGCTCTAAGAAAGTCGAGTCGTTTGCTCCAATTCGACATGAAGAAGTCTCAAGGTTGATTCAAGAGGTTTCCTCTCTATCTGCTGCTTCTAAAGTCGTCAATTTGAGCAAATTGGTTCTTAGTTTTGCTAGCTCAAATTCCGGTAGGATCACTTTCGGCAAGAGGTACGTACATTTTTTTTATTGTACATGCTTGCATGTACGTACTATATTGTCGTCTATTAATAGGGGTGGATCTTCATTGAGGCTCTAGCAAAACGATAATATACCACCTCCGATTTATTTTTTTTAGTTGCAACTTTGGAATATTTTATATCTCACAAATAATACCTTAAAGTTGCAACTTAAAAAAAAATCGGTGGTATTATATTTTTTTTTTCTTATGCCTAACTAAAGTTGCTCTAACTGAGCCCCCATTCATCTTGATAATTAATAAAATTTGTTTATCTAATAGCATTTTCGTTAATATATCAATAATTCATCTCAGTCAGCATGACATTTTTGTAAATAAGTGAACAACTTTTATTAATATGTGGGTCCCACAAATATTGACTTATTTACGAAAATGTCATGTTGACTGGGATTTTTTGTTGATTTATTTACGAAAATGTCATTAGATAAATAAATTTTGTTTATCACCAAGATAAACTTGTATTTTCTGCAACATAACTCCGTGTATAATAATATATATTTTTTGTTTCAATGCACAGATACGACGATGAAGATGTGTTAGGAAGTAGATACTTTAGCCTTCTACATGAAGCTGAAGCAATGTTCATAGGCTTCTTCTTTAGTGATCATTTTCCTTTTGGGGGTTTGCTTGATAGACTTAGTGGACAATCCTCTAAGCTTGAGAAGACCTTTAAGGAGTTAGATGCAATTTTTGAGAAAATTATTAACGAACATCTTAACACAAACATGCTTCGATTTGAGCGAAATGATGTCGTTGATGTTCTACTCCGTCTCATGAATGACACTTCCTTTCCATTTAAGCTCACTATGAACCACGTCAAAGCAATTTTGATGGTAGGTTTTTCACGATACCGATAATATACTCTCTCCGTCCTTTTTAAATTTAAAAATTAAATTACTCCCTTTGATTTTTTGTTTTAAACGCATCAACTTGATTTTTGTCTTATTCACATACTATGGTTGACTTAATTTTTTCACCTTTATAAAATAAATAAATATTATTATATAATATATCATTAGATTAGTCATAATGTCTAGTTTCATAATATAATTTTGTTATAATTTTTACTAATAGGAAATTAAATATATTAATGGTCAAAATTTTGTATTGGGAAATGTGCCGTCTTCTTATTTTTTATTTATTTATTTATGGTAAGAAAATGATTCTGATCAAACCTCAACCCTCGCGGTTGACTTAATTGTCGTAAGCTTTTTTTTTCATGATTATATTTATAATGTTATTCCAATATTTGCGCAGAATCTTTTTGTTGGGGGAGCAAATACCACAACAGCTGGGATAATTTGGGCACTTACAGAGCTAATAAAGAACCCTATTCCAATGCAAAAAGTACAAGAAGAGCTAAGAAGTGCTGTAGAAAATCAAGGTTGTATATTGGAAAGGGATCTCCCAAAGCTTGAAGGAAACATTTAGGTTACATCCACCAGCCCCATTATTGGTTCCACGTGAAACTAGCCAAAAAAGCATCATAGATGAGTATGATATTTTACCCAATACTACGGTAATTATAAATGCATGGGCTATTCAACGAGATCCGGAATACTGGAAGGATCCGGAAATGTTCATGCCGGAGAGGTTTATTGGGAGTTCAGTGGAATTAAAAGGGCGCGATGTGATGTCAATGATTCCTTTCGGAGGAGGAAGAAGAATGTGCCCTGCATATGATTTTAGTCTTGCAAACCTTGAACTTGTGCTAGCCAATTTGTTATATTCTTTTGATTGGGAATTACCAAATGGTTTAAACAAGGAAGATATTGACAACAACAACGTGCTTCCTAGTCTCATTATGCACAAGGAAAAACATCTTTGCTTGGTAGCAAAGAAATTCCAATAATAGAAACATGCTTACAAATGCAACCTATTTAGATGTGCAAAGCATACTTATCAAAATCGACAATATCCATTTAGTATTATTCTAAAAAAATATAATATCCATATAGTCATAATAAATAAGCATGAATTATGTCATGCTTAGTATTAATTCCATGGTTAAGGATATATATATATATATATATATATATATATATATATATATATATATATATATATATATATATAGGATGGATCAGTGTATTATTATGTACTACATATTACACAATAACTATACAACAGTCATAATTATTAATTATAATTGTGTTGATGAACTTGTATTGATTTATACTTATTATGAAAATGCAATTGATGATGTGAATTAACGTCTTTATATTTATAGAGGTTATTGATAATGTTTATAGGAAGTTACTCATGATTATTATGCATAAATGGGTGGTGATAAATAAATTAAACATTAGCAAAGGGTAAATGGGGATATGATTACTTTAAGTGTATGCCAAAAAAAAAATCATTTGGGGTTATAGTTAATTTAATTAGTGGTTTAGTGCATTATTGAAAAGTTACTAAAATGCATGCATGTTTAATTAGATTACTCATAAATTAAACTTTTTAGATATCTTAATATGTAAAAATTCATCCCTTAAAATGACAACCATTGTACTAATTTTTATTGGTTGAATTTTGATTTATTTTTTATGTCAAAATTAATTATAAATGGTTTTTTTTTTCATAATTAATTTATAAATTATTTTTTATAGCCCAAGATCAATTTATATATTCTATCATACCCCCTCACAAACGAGCCCTTGGATGGAGAAGATGATTTGAACACGTGACCTTTATGTCACGACGGTTTCAGTACCATGTTAAAGAATCAAATCAACCAAAAGTTTAAACCGATGGTTGAAGCCCAAAATCGACCGCGATTTCTCTATATCCATGAAAAAGTTTAGATTAATAGCTGTGAATTATACTCGGCTCAATATTATTAAATTCTACGATAGGTGGCCAGTGGATAATCAGCCAGTCGATTTAAGGTTTAACAAAAACTTGCGTGTACACACGATTTACATGTATATTAGATTATTAGTGTACATCAAAAGAACAATTTTAAGTTAACTATTAATTTAATTAGTCAATTTGGGATAACTTGTACTGTAATGTTTTATGGGGTAACTTTATTAATTTGATAAGATTTTAATGTAAATAAGTAATGCGATAAGTTTATTAGGGTAATATAGTTAAGTATATTTTGTCAAAAACTATCTAATCGTTAAAAATGTTGTACATAAGAAACTTCATAATATTAAGGAAAATTTGTAAATTACCACCCCAAAAAAGTATCAATTTCTAAATAACCACCCATTTAAAATTTTATTTTAAATTACCACCCACTAAAATTATTTTTTATGCAGATTATCACCTTTTTTCAAAATCCGGTGGAATTCAGATGAGTGGGGCCCTCCTAACGGCTACTAACGACTAGTTTCTCCTTCCCAAATGAATTTCCCCCCGATTTTCCCCTATATAAAATTTCTCCTACCCTAATTTGCGTTTTGTACTTCAAAAATTCCCCAAATTCCTCAAATTTCACTCCCTTGTAATTGCTGTAGCATTTTGAAGAAACCTCAGAGGTGAATTCGCATCAGGTAACCTATGACATTCTTTAAATTTAGGGTTCTTATTGTGCTTAAATTGGGGAAAACTTGTTGATTAGTTGATTAGCGTTTACTTTCTTCGCAAATTAGGATTCTTTTCCTATTTAATTGGGGGAAACTGAGTGTTTAGTTATTTAGGGTTCATGTTTTTTGCCCAATTTAGGTTTTTTGTCATTGAATTGCTGTTAGTACTGGGTAAGTTGTGTTTGCAATTTGTGCACTTAATTAAGTACTGTTAGTATTGGTTGAAGCATGTTTTAAGCTTTTATGTTTATTTATTGTTGGAATTATTGTGGCAGAAATGGAAGAGAATAAGGTGATTCTCATATTTAAGTATTTGAGTAGCTTACAATAGTGAAATCGACAAAAAATAAAAAAATTTAGGAGGGAAATAACGACTGTGGGTCCCACACACCTGAAATCAACCGGAAATTTTAAAAAGGTGGTAATCTGCGTAATTAATTATTTTAGTGGGTTGTAATTTAAAATAAAATTTTTAATGGGTGGTTATTTAGAAAATGGAACTATTTTTGGGTGGTATTTTGCAAATTTTCCTAATATTAATATATATAAGGTAAATATTGTAAAAGACTATCTCTAGCTGTATTTCCGGCGAATATATATATATATATATATATATATATATATATACACACACACACACACACACACACGGGGTGGTTCCGCTGAAAACAAGGCTTATGCTGAAAACAAGGCTTAAGCTGAAAACAACAAATCTCAACCATGCAATATTAGCATAAAAGATCAGGCGGTTTAAAAGCCCTAAGAACTTTCCAACCTTACATATAATCAATCTAATCATTTTAAGGTCACTACATACTAAAAATAAGGTAACTTTATCTAAATTGACGACATTTCCATAAAGTCACTGTATATAAAAATAAAGCCACTATATATAAAAATAACGTAACTATATTAATTTTGACGATATGTACACAAGGGTCATTATATACAAAAATAAGGTAATTATATCAAATGTGACAACATTTATATAAAGGTCACTATCTACAAAAATAAGATAATTATATCAACTTTGAGTTTTTGACTCCATTTACATAAAGGTCACTATGTACAGAAATAAGGTAATTATATCGACTTTGAATTTTTTACTGCATTTACATAAATGTCACTATATACAAAAAGGTCACTATATATAAAAATAAGGTAACTACATCAATATTGACAATATTTACATAAAGATTGTTATATACACAGTAGCTTCGCATTCCCACAAGCCACAACAACCACCACCATCCACCTTCATTCAATCATTCGCCTAGCCAGCCATGTAGTCATCCACCTCGCACCCTTCAAATCCACAACCAACCTCCGTCATTTCACATGATCAGTTATCACAATAACCACTGCAACATTTGCAGTCACATCTCCATCGGATGCCCACACAGCAGCCACCAATTGCTCCACCAATTCGCCACCAGAGCCTGACTCCAAGTCTCCAACATCAACAATTTTACATCCAATAATCAACAATTCAGCCACATGAAGATAAAATTCCACTATTTTCCAGAAATTTTAAACACACACTAGCACATTCAGATTCAACTAAAAAATTACTGATATGCATATAAATTGTTTGGGTCCAATTTAGTCCAATTGGGCCTAGGCATTAAATGATCCAATTAAAAGCCCAAGGTCAAGGTTCAACTCTCTAATTGTGTTAAAGTCAAAGGTCAGCCCTCAAAGCAAGCCAATTGGGCTAAGGCCCAACTTCTCCATGTATGAAGAGGTATAAAAGCCATCAATATTCATACATTCAGAGATATATTCATAGATTCATATATTCTCATATACTCAAATAAAGCCTCAAGCAACAAATTCTCTTGCATAGTGTTCTCTTTCTACACATTGTACTGACTTTAGCATCGGAGGGGCCTTCCTCGGCAACACCCCCGAGGCTAGTTTACGTGTGTTTACTGTGCAGGAAACCTTCGGCCCAACATAACTTGGACCGAATCCAGTCTTCTCCGTTTCAGCGGACCTTCGGCAAGGTCCCATTGTTTTCACCCGAAACAATTTGGCGCCGTCTGTGGGGAAGACTTTCAAAAATCTTTAAGCCAAATTTCTAACCAAGATCATCTTGCAATTATCTTAGTAGCAATGGCTAAGAACCGCAAGAGCAAAAGCCTCCGTCAAGGAGCGGGCGAAAAGCCTAAAATCCCTACACCATCACCCTCGCCGGACCGGAACTCTCCCAAGGGTGCCAGCTCGGGGGGAGGATCATACAAGGAGGATTCCCTTTCTCCTGTAATTCATGACTCTCATCATAGGCCGAGTCACTCTCGGTCTAGCAGGGGTGAGTCCGATCATAGGACACATTCAGTGCCCCAAAGACAACCATCGGCTGTACGCCCTCATTCCCATACTCGGCCGAGGACCCCTTTGACGGGGCCCAGCTCGGAAGAGGTGGCAAGAGCGCTGGCAGTACTCATGGAGGCGATGAGGGCACAAAATATGCCACCACCTCGTGATCGAACTCCTCCGCATACCCGGCATCAGCGGAGGAAGTTAGACCATGATGGTGGGAAGCTTCCTTCCTTCCGGGAACTGGAAGAGTGGGAAGAGGATACCTGGAAGAATGAAAAAGAGAGGAAAAAGAACCCTCAATTTTTAAAAGGATCCTCATCCTCACGACCAGAAATGCATAAGAGCAGCAGCTCAGCTTCTCGGCTAGAATCTACTCACCGAGAACCTGAGACTGTTCGCTGAAGCGTCCTCGACCGACTCGGCGGCAAGGAACCGAGCGTGCGCAGTCGCCTCTCGTTCCCTGCAGCCGAGGCCCAGACTTCCCAGCCAGGGACGAAAACCACTCCTACCTCTCTAAGAGGGCGGAGCGTGGTCCCTTCGGCCAGGAACAAGGGCAAGGCCGTTATGCTACCCGCC